GGTCGGAGTCGCAAGCGGTGTCCCTCCAGGCTCGGTCCTTCGACCGCTTCTGTTTTTGGTCTACATAAACGATTTGGATCTAGGAGTAAAGGGTAATATAAGTAAATTTGCCGACGACACCAATATAGGTTTTACCATAAGGGGGAGGCGGATAGGGCTAGAGTCGAGTGAGATTTAAGTCTTTTGGATGAGTGGAGCAAGAAATGGCTCATGAGGTTTAATAAAAGTGCGTATAAAGTTCTCCACGTCGGTCGAAACAACGGTAGGTCTCTTGACACGTTCGGCGAAGTTAAATTGGACGAGGCAAACGGAGAGAGAGAATTAGGAATTCATATCGACGATGACCTCAAGTTTTCCTCGCACGCGCAAGCGACGGTGTCCAAATGCAATATGATTCTAAGTTACATTCGTTGTTCGGTTGCAAGTAGGACTTCGCGCGCTATTCTTCCATTGTATGCGGCGCTGATTAGACCCTAGTTGGAATATTGCATCCAGTTTTGGAGGCCTACAAATAAGGGCGATGTGTTGGTGCTCGAGGGAGTACAGAGGAGGGCCACAAGAATGATTGAGGTCAGAGGAATATCTTACGAGAAGCATTTAGAAGTGTTGGGACTCTACTCGCTCGAGCGAAGATTAAGGAGGGGCGACCTCATTCAGGCTTTGAAGATTATTAAAGGAATAGATAATGCCGAGTGTGGTAGGTTTTTCCAGTTTGATACCAGCAAGAGAACGAGAGGTAACCGACTTAAGTTGCGCAAACCGCATGTGCCGCTCAGTCCAGACAATAATTCTTTACCTGCATAGTGGTGAATACGTGGAATGTGTTAGATGACGAAGTAGTGGCTGCCCCTTCTGTGACTATCTTTAACCCCTTAAATGGACTCGCCGCATATGTGCGGTCTGGCACCTGCCATCTCTCAATGGAATCACCGCACATATGTGCTCAAAAGTTCCCAGTTAAGGGGTTAAGAAGAAACTGGATGCTTCCATGGACAGGCAAAAAGGTGGGGGGCAATGTTGACGCTAGATACTACACTGTAAGCAACTAGGATAGTAAAAAACATGCAAAAATATTTTGCTTCAAAAGTGTTTAGCCTACCCTAAAACTAAGGTACGCTCGACCTCGACACGTGATATCGAAATGGGTGAAATCGCCTCATGATATCACTAACTATCTTGAATCTTGAATAAAGTTTTTTTTCCTTGGAACTAGAGAGTGATTTATGCAATAATTTTCAGTATTTTGTCGCCTTAGCGAATTTGAAGGGCAACGTCCGCCCTAGATCTAATTAAACTCACATCTACCTATGAGGTAAAAATCATTGTGTCATCAAAACTTCTGTTTTCGTGACACGAATAGCGTTGATTGGGATAGCCTGTTGGCTGCATGAAGGAAATGCAGATTCTTGACTTCATGGCAAAATGTCCCCATGACAAAAGGTCTCCTCGTTATATTTGAACATATTTGAACAGAACTGCTGTTATTTTTTCTATTTCGTTTCCTTAAACAAAATGTATTATTCATATTGCGAACTGACGGGACTGTGTTATCGATCCCATTTTGTTCTGAGAAACCCGAGATGAAAAAACCATTCTGGATGTATAGCAATTCATTTCCACGAACTCCGCATATCAAAGAATACTGATAGGCAGTGAACAAAATCAAAATTCACCGTCTAATCACCCCGTGTGTACACTGGTTTTCGACTAGTGGAAGATATTTGAAGAGGACAATCAAATTACATTTTAGGACATTCAGGTACAATTTGTGGTCAGGTCAGTAGCATTGAACGATATTCTGCACATACAGCTGGGTATGATGAGCGTCACCTGCTGATAGTAAAGTAAAGAGGATACGAGGGTGTATTGGGGTGAATTCATGCTCCAAAATATCAACCCTAGCTCTTCAGCGGCAGTCTATGACATAATCATAGGAGATTAGACTGATATACAGTAAATACAATTCGACAGATAGAAAAAGCCCTAATCCGTAGTTTGGATCTTCAAATCTGACCCAAACCCAACCAAGATCAAGCAGCCCAGAACTTAACGAAGGCAAAAGATAGCTAGCTTCTTCTATTTTACTTATCACTAACCTGTGACCTCAGCAAACACAGTGACCAGGGAATGGTGCATAGAATCTACCCTCTCGAAAGTGCTGAAATCTCTGAAGAATCGGAGGTCAAAGTTATCATAAAAGTCACGGGTGCTCCAGCATGACAATGTGTGCTGTCAAGCAAATGTTCTTACATTTAATTTCCAGCACGAGTCTGGGATAAGAGTGCATCTGCACCCAACCTACAATCCAGACCTACTTCTATATGATTTATTTCCGAGATGTAACAATTATTTTCGTGGACGAAGTTTTCATACAGCAGAAGAGTCAGTAACCGCATTTATTTCGTTGATCTTAGGTATCCCAAAGTCTGTGTCTACCTTAACGTCATAAATACCGCTTTGTATGCCAGTTCTCATCGTAGTATTCAACGCATCGTAGAATAGTACTACTGTTGTACATAGTAGAATCAGAATTGATATCACTCAGAATACTACGATGAGAACTGGCGTAAAAAGCGGTATTCATTACCTCAAGGGAAAGAAATCATTCGAGGAGTCCTGAAACATCATCCACCTATTGCCCGGAAAGGTCCATTTTATGACTCCATTTTGAACGACTGTCGATATTTATTCAGACAACTTAGATGCATAGAACTTCAAGGAATCAATTGTTGTGGGGTTTCCAACGTAATATGAAAATATCACGAACTTAGATCATCCACAGCGGATTTTATAAGGCGTCTCACACGACGCGTTTCTTTTGCGCCACCCGGTATTTTTGTTTCTGAAATTAAGACCATTTTAAATGTGTACATTAGGTCAACATCGGTTTAAGACGAAAAATGGGTAAACCTAACCTAACTCTAACCTTTATCTCTGCCTAACCTAACTTGACCAAAATTCTTTGAAATTGTTCAAATTTGAAAAATAATTGCATTTTTAGATCACCCCTTCCAAATAATCGGTTTTATACCAAAAGGGGGCAAACTACTTTTGCAGGCTTGACAGCCATCATGAGAACAGTGAACAGTTCTAAGCAAAAGATAATATCGAAAATATGGTTCTCACGTGGAATGGCCCAAATCCGAAAGTTCGATCTTCTAGCAGCTTCCATCCCAGGGTTTCCCTTATACTCTGAACCGACTATTAGTAAGGTTTTTCCATGAAACATTATGTGTTTCTGCTTTGGGAGGCATTGAACGTACCTCGCAGCATTTCACTTCATGCCTGACGAAACTGGTATTCCCATTCGTATCAGGTAACTTTTTGGTCTATCCGATCTTTAAGTATGCTATTTTAGCCAGAAGAACGAGGCTTTCCAGACCAAAGGCTCGGAGGACATGGGATGATTTGTGCTAGTACTTCCTACGATGCGGCTGGGTTAATCTTCACCAGAATGTTCGTATTTACCTGAGTGTCATTATCTAATACAATGAAGCATATTTACTTTTTTTCTTGGAAGGAACTTCTACGCAAAGGTCCAGAACCCAATGCCATGGGACTAAGAGAGCATTCAAGCCCTGAACCGAGGAATTCTTCGAAGCCCTGTTCCATTACTCCCCTGGACGATTTCAGGGATCTGAGTAGAGACGAGGAAAAAATGAAATTCCATCAGGTTCAGACCATTTTTATTTCAGGCAAAGATTTAATACTGATGTAAACCACACACATCGCGATTGATTCTCTTCAGGGACACCAGAAGCCTTCAGACTCTACCAGCCAAGATATTTCGGTGATTGACTTACCTCTCTTGGGGACGCCATCAAGACGGAATGGTTCTCTGATATTCGAAATCAATTCAGGAAAGCGATCACAAGTGAATAAGACATTCGAAGTCCTGCTCACAGGAACCTCCATTGAAAGTGAGTTTAGTCCACCGTCACGGTTAGTGGTACGCTTTCACAGAATGCTCTCATGGAAATATCATTCAATGCAGACGAGAGCTGAAGAAAAACACGACAAATATCTATTCTGGAAGATATTATAATTGCTCATCTTTACCTGTTTAAAATTCCCTTTTTTTACTGAAGTACCGTGGCACGGTGTCTATTTTGTGGAATCGAATGGCCGTCAAATTTTTCAGCTTATGTGTTTTTAAGAGCATGGAATTTGTTTTATCACATAGCAGCTGATCAATGACTTGGAAAAGAGACAGACCCATTGTTTCCTCTGGAAACGGGGATATTTTTTAAATTTGCTCCAATCCTAAAATGTCAACCACCGCGAGTTCAAGGGCCCCCTGATCACAACATAATCTTTTAATGATCCTTCTTTCGATTTATCTCGCTGGTTACTCATGCATTACTATAATCATGAATTAGTCCCATATGTGAGAAGTAATAACATGCGTGCTACTACTTCTCATGGAAGCCTGTTCTCCCCTTGAGAAGGGGAGTTCATTGTGATGTGCTGCATGTAAGAATTTAAAATAAATCAAAATGTAGCGCTTTTTTCCATTCCACATTCCTAAATATATGAAGGAAGCTTCATGTCCTCGAAGCAATACATATTATGGATGATTTTCATAATTTTGCACTGAACAGGTATTGGAGATTTCTTGACTGGGTTCTTCAACGTCACCTTGGGTGTGACCTCCAAGGATACCCATCGCTATGGTCTTGAGAAGGTACTTCGAGAAAATAATGACATCGTCCTTCTTGAGAGTACTATCACTAGTGAGGACATGATTTTGAAAATCTTCCTAGTTTCGCCCCTAAAATTGGGAAGTGCTGCAGATGAATGGAAAATTGCATCCATATGCCAAAATGCCTCTGCTTTGTGGGTCGCGATGCCTAATAATCTGCAGGCTCTATCGAGTGAATTCGTGAAAAGTTATGGAAGGGTATGTCGACGTTGCAAAAGAGCGTCAATTCATGGTTTGATCACACAAGATGATGGTGCAATCCCACATTCCATCGAGAAACTTGTCACGATGTGCGAGAAGCATGAAATCAAATTCAAATATGTACATCGCTTTAATTCCTCGATGCTTATGAAAGGAATTACAAGCGATACCGGAATCAAGAATCGCAACACGGAATTCTCAGGAACGATGTGGGAAGCGAACGTAAGCAGCTACAGGGACCTACTCGAAGCGCTAGGTCATTGATATCTGAGGTATTTCATGCCGGGATAGTATTCGGATAGCGGGAAGCCATTCAATGGATGACAGAACCATAAATCATATTAGAATGGTGAACATTGCCTCATTCGATTTCTAAGATTAGTGATGAATGAAGAGAGAGACGTCGGTCCCTTCGGAACGACGAGAAAGAAAGATCAAACGCATAATTTGTTCATGTCATTCTCCGTTAATGTTCCAGATCATTTTTTTATATCATCCGTTTATTTCTTTTGCGGAAACCTCATGATTGATCATTTGATTGCCTGAAGTACAAGCACATATATTCATGGAAAGTGAAGCGTATGAGCTCTCCAAGACACCTTTCTCAGTGTCAATGGTGTAAATAAAGGAGTTTGGCGAAACATTTATTGTGGATTACAACGATTACGCCGTTACGACTTTGTCAATCATTTCCCGTAAAAATTGACGAAAATTTGAAGGGAGGATATGGCAATCATGAGGGATTCTCTAAAGAGGGAACACCGGAAACCTTCTCTGAAGGGTGCTGGGTAAATGAAAAAAGCGGATATATTTTTGCACATAGACACACTTCTTCCATTAGAAACAGACTAACCAGGTTAACAAAAAAGACATTGAGGTCTTACCTGCAAGAGCAACTCCGAGGAAAACGTCAGCCTAAACCGGTTTTCAACGCAACTGCTGAACCATTATGTACACTCAGAACATTCCAAGCGTTTGGGAAGTAAAAAGTGAGCACACCGTGAGCTTTTGGAACTTACTCTCTTCCTACTCACCAAATGCTCCCTCATCGCTCGTATTGAAGTGAACACCTTGAAGTTCTTCGCCAGGCCAATAAATGGAGGTAAGGGTCTCGGTTTTCGCACAGTACACAAAAGTTCCCTTCCCTCTTTCCTTGGAATCGTCTCTCGCAGGATTGTCTAGTACCTTGACATATGTCTTCTGGTCTCATTATAGGAATCAATAAATATGGACACTTCATCATTTGTTATCCACATATTCAATACATATTCAAAGAGTACAGGCCATAAACAAGCTCATATTCCTATTGAGAACCCTTTTGGAGCGCATATGATTTCATCCGCATTGGAGATATAGAATGTAAAGAGAGTGTCTGTGAACTTCATTAACACCAGAAGGGCCGCAGCGGTCATTTTGACCGCTAGTGAACTTTAAATGAGCACCATGCTCGTACTTTTGATGTACGAAGTTCCAGTTCTTTGACTTTTCATGATTTAGGGTTTTACACATACACACAAAAAATTGGTCTGGTAGCTGCGACAGGAATGCCTGTACAGAACGTCATACCTAGAAGGGCTGTCAGCGGTCATTTTGACCGCTGCTAGTTTTTTGCGTAGTCAACAGTACGGCACTCGCTGCTGACGTGTTTGGAGATGTTTTTTCGTGACGCTCGTATAGTACAGTCTATAAATTAAAAAAAAAAACAGTAGGCCGCTCGCTGCTGAGGTGGTTGGATGTGATTCCACGTGTGCTCGTATAGCGGGGTCTGTGTCAATGGCTAGACAACAGAACTTCACTCCGTCTCATATATTGGCAGAACTTCAAGACCTAGCGGAAAACCAGTCGGACATCGATGACCCAAGCTCAGATGTAAACTAAACGGTAATGACGAGGATTTTATACCTCAGCTTGTTGGGAATTTGTCAGATAGTGATTCGGCCGATGAAGAAATGAACGAACCGGACGCTGCACCTACACCGTACGCAGGTGCAGCTGTTCCCAATAGTGCTCAACACAGCGGCAGAGGACGCGGTGGCAGACGATGTATGGGAAGGCCTACTCCACCTACGGCGGGTGATCAAGTTCTTCGAAAAGACGGCATGACTGTTTGGACAGTTGTTGACAGCGGCTAGAATAATCCTGGAAGGCTGGCTGGACAGAACGTGCTGAAAGAGACAGTAGGACCTACGTCGCATGCTAAACATAATGCTGCAGATAATAGCATGTCTAGCGCTTGGCGTCTGTTTATTGATGAGTCTATGTTGCGGCATGTGAAAATGTGCAACGAAACCGAAGCTCGCAGACAGACTGAGGACAACAGTTAGTGGATTTCCCTTGAAGAACTTGATGCTTTTATTGCTTTGGTATATGCCCGTGGGGCATATAATGCCGCCGGACTTAGATCTTATGTGGTCATCAGTATGGGGTCCACCCGTCTTCACGCAAGCAATGGGAAGAAACAGATTCAAAGATATAATGAAGTACCTGCGTTTTGACGTGCGTAGAACCAGATCTGCACGGTTGCAGACATATAAATTTGCTTTGGCATCTGCAGTGTGGGAGAAATTCATTAAGAACTGCTATGCGTGCTACAGGCCAGGAGAGAATGTTACTGGAGATGAACAACTCTTCCCCCGCATAGCTCGGTGTAGGTTCATGCAGTACATGTCCAACTAGCCAGATAAATTTGGCATAACATTCTGGCTTTTGGTTGATGTTAACTCGAAGTACGAATGCAACGGATTACCTTACCTTGGGAAAGATGACCTGCGTCCTGCCAACGAATCATTGCCTGAAAATGTGATCATGCAGCTCATGGGCCCTTATCTCAAGAAAGGCCGCAACATCACCACTGATAGCTTCTTCACGTCGCTGAAACTGGCTGAGAGGCTGAAAGCGCAAGGGTCATTCCACATCAGATCGACCAGAGATTTTGGTCGACCATCATCGATTTGGCTGAAATTTGGTGAGGAGGTAGTGTTTCACCCAAAAACGGGAAATCCAAAATAATTTTTTTTTCTGATCAATGGTGTGTCCGTGGCGAGGTCACAAAATTATGACCTATTTTAGCTGTTCCGGCTGACCTCTATCAGACTTTCTTCAATAACTCCTTAGCTTTTTACCATAGAATGTTCATTTAGGACTCCTTTTAAAGGCCTCTTTTAGCTCTATCTTGTAAATTTATTTCAAGCTAATATTCATGAATACTCATTTTATACAAAAATTCGAAGGCGTTTGACCTTTGACCCTTTATATAAAAAATATATAATGTTCAAATTTCACCAAATTTACTGGATAACACGGAAATAATATGGTAATGAAACTCATAAATTTTCAGGAGGATGTTTTGCCCCAGTTTTGAGATATGTGTAAAAATGTGCTTTACATTTTCCGTTTTTGGATCCATTATTTTCAGGAAGATCACAATTTTTTATTTGTTTCTCCGGCAGTTTGGATTATGTCGACCTATATCATATTGTCTTAATTATGCGTATATGGAATTCATATATCTTCAGATTCGGTTTTTCAACCAGCCATGGGACAGGTACAACAACCGAAAATATTTTCAATAAAATAATGTTTACTAGGCTTAGGAAAAATCTTATTCACGTAAGGATACTGTGATATCTAGCACATCTTCCTTCGGCATACCTGCAGCTTCTGAATGTGATCCGACATTCTATCCTGCTTCAGAATATCCTGGCGAGACATAGCGAACCCCCAATGCACTCCTGCAAAATTATCGATATAACCCTGATAAATACGGCCCGCCTGTCTGGTAGTCGTGGGGCACAGTATGCAGAAGGCATGCGAAAGAAGTCAGCAACTATGAAAGCGCAATTGGAATCGATAGCCAATCCAGAGAATCCTATAGGAAGAACTTAGGCTGAGGATAGGTCTTGATTCAAGAAAAATTGTACCTGTACCCGAGTGTCCACATACGCGAAGGCAAGAAGAAGCTCCCGATACCGTAGAATTCTACAACGCCACTAAATTTTGGCGTGGGCATAGTGGACCAAATGGCTCGTAAATATTCTGCGAGGGCTGCATCTCGCTGCCCTCACAGAATAATATTTATATTAAGAGAGACGGAACTGTTAATGCAATAAAGTCTGACGTATGGTCATAGCCAGCAGTTAGGAAAGCAACAACTTCAGTAGCCGACAATCTCATACTACATGTATCATTGTTGGTTCTGAGCACAACCCCCAGGAAGGCATTTAGAACGATGGTATTAATATCGTCGAAATTAGACCTCATGATGTGAAAATAGCAGAACTTTTTTGAGTTCTCGACCCAATAGTTATCGACACTAGGTTTCGAACGACGTCTATACGCTGTTTCCAGATTTAATTCGTACCCCCTATAGGAGCGCTTCCATTGATTGCAGGTAGTGACATCTTGCACATGAGTGGTTTTGTCTATCGCCTGCTGAGGCGAAACCTCTGGAAATGTGTGCTTCCTTCATTCACCATTATAGGGGGATGGTACGAATTAAATCCGGAAACAGTGTAGTTTAAAACTGAGGCACACAAAACGAATTTGGAATTCATAGTAATGAGATGGAGGGCGGGAGGGCGGCTCCAATCATCAGAGACTCCCGTTTCCCTATTGTAACGATGAGTTACGGTGAGTTCCATCGCATAGCATTAAAAAATGACACAACTTTAAAATTTCAAACAAACATGATTTGGATCAATTGACATCAACGATTGACATATCACTCATGAAAATCCGTTCATCCGTCTAGGAGGAGGTTCCCAGGAATGACACCCTGACATTAACAGATTATCCTCTTACTAGCCGACCCATGCAAGACTTCCACGTACTCTTCGGCAAGAAATCGCGAGTTCATTCGGCGGCCCTAAAACTCAGTGGTTCTCACATCGCTATAGGTAGTGGCTCTTCTTTACCATTATTTACATGTCCCCATGTACAACTCTTGTAGTCCCCTTTCATCCCGCTGAAGGGAAGA